TCTGTTGCAGAGGTTTACCCAATGGCCAGGCAGTAACTCTGCCAGAATATAAAGAAGGTCATGCACTTCGTGTACAGTGACTCTAGAATCCAATTAAAAAGTTTAGTGTAAGACACAGTCATTCCCACTTAATCCGATCATGGTTTAATGCAATCCTCTGCTTATTTCAATCAGTGCCTTTGGAGCCAAATCAATTGTATGTCTTTGTTTCCACGTTTTCCTTGGTAATTTGATCACCTTCAGCTGTTTAAAAAAATAGCTCAGTTGGGAAATCTGGCAACGTCTTTTAAGAATTGTCACATAACAAAGTGAACAAAGAAGCTCCAGGATGGCCAGTAGACCCCAAATTGACAAAGTAGAAGCAAAAGTTCAGTTGCCTAAAATGAAAGTGGAATAGAGTGTGGTGGAGTTGAAGAGAAAAATTCTTACAAGGAGTCTTGAATCAACATGAACTAATAAAATACTGTTGATTGCTTCTCTCTACAATCATTCCAAATCACTGGAAATTTATAAATGTGTTAGTTTGGCTGTTGGTGTTTTGGAAGCCAGTCTTCCGGTTGAAATGATAGAAATACTATTAGTGCATTTCTCTGAAGCCAACAGTACCTTTTAGTGGTGAAGATACCTTCTATTAACTTTGCAAGGGTATAACACTGAGCTTTCCATATGTTAAGTTGGCATTTGCCTCATGAGTGGTCATGGTGTATTGCTTTAGGGAAGGCTGAAGAAGGCCAATGATGCAAAAATGGCCCCATTTTCTCTATTGGAATTTGAGTTATTTCAAATATGTACATGACTATTATAAAGTTTAAAGTAGACTCAGATGGTTAATTCTGCAAATTGAATGATTTCTGACTGTCCATAATGGAATAAGAGGATTACTTTGGTCTGTGCAAATATGGGTGAGATTGACAAGCTGCAAGTCCTAGTGATTGCAAATTTCCTATTTCACATTGCTTTCAGAGCTGAGGTATCTGGAAGATGTCTTCAGCTCTCTACAAATCATTAAAAGGAGAAAAAATATATAAATTTTTCTCAACAGCCTTTTGAAGAATATGCCAAATGGCATGTGCCACAGTTCCCCTTTCAATATGCCAGTCATGTCTGGGAAAAACAGCATGAGCTGCCCTTGACGGGGTTACCTATGGAGCCCGAAACAGGGTCTATGTGACACTTTTCAAGAAAGCTTTAGAAGTAGAGCAGTGCTGCGTCCCTCATTTGTTAAAATCAGCTATGTCAAATTCCTCACCATACTCATTTAAGGATCTAAGTTCTGTGCAGCTGAGTATTTTATTTTGCCCCACTCCATGGGGAAGCATTAAATAAATGGCTCTACTATACATACATTTAACTTTGAGGACATGTGTGGTACCAGAATGTGCCTCACGAAAGGGAAAAAAAGAGAAGTAGGATCAGACTCTTCTTTGTGTCTGGGTTTGGAGGAGGGAAATGAAACTCCTAACATGATTCCCATCAGCATCGAGCCCTTTAAACTATACAAATGAAATGCTCTATTTAATAGAATTCAAAAAGTAAAACAAATGCTTTGTTCTTAGTGAATCTGCCATTCAAAGCTGCTCTTGGCAGCACATCAACTGTATTTGAAATGTCATTAAGTTGGTATTTTTATTGTGCTTTCTATCCTAACACATCTTTTGAGCTATTGGAGTATTGAACAGAGAAGGAGGAAAGCCAAATTGCTCTCAGAGCAATGTGCTGCTATTAATAAGGTCTCTGTTAGCTGACTTAGCAATAAAGAACTTACCTTAATACGTATTTTTGGCGATACCGCAGGAGTTTAGAGGCTAAAAAGTAACAGAGCATATTAAAATGAGTTTGTGGTAGAAAGGAAAGAAATACAGCATAAGGAGTTTTCTATAAAGAAATGTATCATAATTGCTATCAAAGTTAAACTATTTCTCTGGGGAGATCAGGTGCCAAAAAGTGCCACAGAGTTTGGAAGATAAGAAATCATACTATTTCTTTAGCATTTACTATCTTCTAGGCACTGTGCTATGAGTTTTTCATATAATATTTAATCTAAACCTTACTATATCCATATAGAAAGGAAATTGAGGCCTTTACACAGTAAGAGGCAGAGTTAGGCTTAAACCTCTGATCTCCCTGATGTCATGGTTTTCCACTAAATTTTGGTGGATTATTTTTATATTTTTTGATGTGCACCAAAACATTAATATTTTTATTAATTTGTCAAGAGTATTCGTATTATTCTTCTTATATTTGTTTGAATTTTCATGTAGATATGCAGAATTTTAAACCATTTCTTTGTCTTAAAATATTATTTAAGGCTATTTAATTTGGAGTATTTTTGTCATTGAAGTTATGCAAAAATTTTGGAAAGACTTTTTCAATAGTGAGATGCATACCCTGGGGGGTCTGAAAGTGCACAAAAGAAAATTGAATCCTTGCTTACTCCCTGCTTATAGCCATGAAATCCCTGGGCTGAGATGTTGCATTAGGAATTCATTTACAAAGTTATTTGGCCATGGTTTTCAAGAGTGCATGATTTTCACTGTGACTCTAGGTCCTGTCAGACAGGGACTAAATGGATGCTCTGCTGTCCTGCAGACAGAAGTGCATTTGACACAGCAGCTGACCAAGGGTGGAGGCCCCATCTTCTGTCAGAACCCAGTTTGCTTGGCTCACTGTTGTCCAAGGGCAGGTGGGTCAGAGAACTGACAGCCTGAGACTTTTTCCACAGAGAAATGCTATTGATTTGCAAGTTATTAGTACTTAGTGGGGAAAACAATCTTTCTTAGTTGCATCCTTGTTATCATCTTCCTCTTCCATCTAGGCGAAATATTGTGCAAATGACCCTTGGAATATAACAAACTATCTCTTGACTCTTGTCCTGTAGGAGCTCAGAATCCACTGGGAAAGGCAAGACATACTCATTTAAAAAGTGAGGTTGAAATATTGCTATAAAAAAAGGCAGGAGCCACATGTTGGAAGGCATTGCATTTCTGATGGAGGAGTGCTTAGAGTATATTTTGCCCTTAGAAGTTGTTGATTAGAGATGAAAAGCAGGCCAGTATTGTGATCAGATTTCCCAAGCCTGAAAGACAAATTACATGTCCACCTTCTAAATTTTTGCTACTCATGTAGAAGAATCTTTTTTTTTTTTTTTACTTGCATTGAGTGAATGAATTATTTGATATGAAGCCATTGTAATTTGCTGATATCACTGCACTGTTTTATGGCAGTGATATTACTGGAACTATTTTAGTGTCTATACCTGCTGGTCTATACCTGGTGTCTATACCTGCTAACTTGAGGGACTCCTTGCCTTAATTATACTTTTCCCCCCTTTTTAAATTGACAAGTAAAAATTATACATGTCTATGGTATACAACATGATGTTTTGTTATGTGTATACACTGTAGAATGGCTAAATCAAGCTAGTTAACTTGTGCTTTACTTCATATACTTATCATTTTGTGTGTGGATGGGTGTGTGTGTGTGTGTGTGTTTGTGTGTGTGTGCGGTGAGAACACTCAAAATCTACTCTATTAGCAATTTTCAAGTATTTAATTGTACCTTGCTTTTGCCTGATCTTGCTATAGAAGAACCAATAGTGAAGAGGAAAAGAAGATAAATGAATATTTGCTGATCCATGGAAAGTGCCAGTCAATTTTACATATATAATTTTATTAATTTAAGTTTTATATGTCTGTCTCAATCCAAAAATTATTAAAAGTGCATGTAAAACTTTACAAAAGGTAAACCCCTTAAAGAATTAAATAAAAAGAAAAATAAGATAAGAAAAATACAGGAAGCCACTGGAGTTTGTTGCACAAAATGCCTGCCAGGAGGACTCTGTACACTTGTTAGAGGTGATTACAAATCAGGCCTGGGGCTCAGGGTCTTCTGACTTCTAGTGCAAAGAGGGAAACGTGATGAGTTATGTGATTCACAATGCTCATGAAATAAAAGGAAATCAGTTACCCAGGAGCAGCCCACCTAGTTCTGGAACCTTATTTTTCTTCCACGAGTCTTCGTAAGGAAGACTCTGGAACGTTTTATTTTGGCTGCCAAAAGAAAGGGTTGATATTCTCGGATGAAAACTGAAGAGTCAGATGAGATCCACTGCTGCCTGGAAGCCAGCCGAGGTTGTACCTGTGGGCGGGGCCAACGCTGTCATCTTCAGCCCCTACATATCTCAAGCAAGACCTTTGTAATGAACTTCCTAAGATAAACTCTTTTTCTCCTTCATATCACAGCCTGCAGTTATTATGTGTGTTTATTTGTTTACTCTTTCTTCTCCCCAATAGATTATACTCTGCACAAGGGCAGGGGTTATAGGTGTCTTATTTATCCTTACTTCTCCACATAGCACAAAGTCTGGTATACATTAGGCGCTCAATAAATATTTATTGAATGAAGAAAGGAATGGAAAGAATTGATGGTACTATGTACCCTAAGATAACTGAATCAGCCATCAGTAGTTAGAAAGGGACTACTTATAAGCCTGGTTATACCAGCTAGCTGGCTTTAAGAGTGTTTGGAATGTTTACCAGAATGATTGATCTTAGAACATCTGATACAAGACATTCTTCTTGCCAATAATCAGATAGCATCGGATGACCATTGTCTGTTGAGTTTGTCCCACACAGGAACTTGTAGAGTAGTTTTTCTAATTCATATTTCACCAATGAGCCCATAAAACTCAAGAGAAGTTGAATTATGGGTTTATTTTCTACTTAATTAATAAATATAATGAAAAATACATTTTCAATCAAGACTTTTTCATGAGCATATTATACAATTTGGGTGTGATATTGTAGCAGCTACATTTACAAACATTAGTAAACTGTTAGGCTTTTCTAGAATAATCCAGGTGTTTGTGGAAACTAGTTATATGGCCAACTTTTGCCTACTTTTTTTTCCCCAAATATGGATTACTGTCACTCCTGATGAGAGAACACATGAATCTATTTCTGATGGTGGCTGATTAAGGGCTTTGTCCTCCTACTCTGCAGAGACACGGAATACAAAGGGCTGCAGCTCTCCCTGGATCAGATCTCGGCCTCCAAACCAGCCTTCTCCTATGCCAGCAGCTCCACTCCCACCATGACTGACAACAGAAAGGGGGTCAAGTCCCGGCTCTCCACCTCAAAGTCAAAATCCAGGACTTCCCCTTATCCTCAGGTAAGCGCATTGCTGTTTTGCAGTTTTCCTTTTTTGGTGACATGGTTTGATTTTTGAAGTTGAGGAAGTATTAAAACTGTTTGGAATTAATTATCTGGTTTCAATAAAGTTAAAAATTCTGTAAATCTGGAAGGTTTTCTAAAACTAACCTTTCTTCCTTCTCTTCCTGTAAAATAACTGTGCTAGTAAAAATTTAAATGATTTTGTGGTTTTCTGCATTTATACGAAGGTCATGAGAGTCTAGTTATTGTCAGAACCATAACTTCTTTGTGATTTCAAGGAGATTGACCCTAACATTTTCCCCCACGACAAGTAACCAGAAAGATGTAACTGGCATAACAAAATATGGAAAACAAGAGCTTGATGTAGAAAAAAAATGAATTTTAGGAGAGGAACTGAAGAAGAAGAAAATGAAGAGGTGGAGCCAAAGGATCTAGGATGCATTTTGCCATGAGATTTGAGCACAGATTGAATATTCATGAGGAGGAATGACATAGAGAGGGTCTTTTAGATGGCAGGAATGGTAGGAAAAGGAAATCTCTTCTCATCTTTGGAAGGCTGTGAGTTGGTGAGACCCAAAGGAGGTATTCCAGAAATATTTCAAGGTACTAATAGGAGTCCTGGTTCTTGGAAGAAAAAAAATTATTTTTCTAATCCATCACTGAGACATAGAAACTAGATTGTGTCAAGGTGTGAGCACAACTCTGCTGGCATGAAGGAAGTAGAAAAGGACTGGGCATTCTCCACGCCCGTTAACCTGTGGCTATCTCTCCTCCAACCTTGTGTTTTAAGAGCACATGTCAAACTTCCTGCAGTTCACTAGTGAACTCTAGAGATGATTCCTGGGCTAAAATAAAACCAAAATGGTTTCTGAGTCATTTATTCATCAATGTGGTCTTTATTATTTATACTTTTAATACATTTTAAAGTAAAAATAGCAATCAGTGGGTACAGAAACTATTATTTCCTTACTTGTCATAGCTATATTATTCTGTTGGTATCTACAGGTATATATTATTTGAAGAAATGTTGTTCCTTGCACAAATGATCACTAAGAAGCTACTATTTGCTAGATTATTTTAGTGGCTTGGTATATGAAAATGGGAATACCATGTCTCTGCCTCCAAGAGGCTCATGTCACATAGTTTGAAATCTTCCACAGAACACCAGATTTCTTTACTCTGACAAAAGGTAGTAGATTTGTGATATCTAGATGTTTTTCAGTGTACAACTTCTGTTATGAGGATTGAGCACTTCACTTATAAAGTATGAAGTATATTTTAGTCAAAGTCACCGTGGAGAGGGAACTGCTTCTTTTACTGAACATCTAATGAGAAGCTTTTCTTATTACTGTCTTGTACCTTGGGAAGAGAGTTTTACTGTATCTTTTTACTACTTGGAAAGATGGATGATGCCTTTGGGTAGTTCTCTCCTTTAATATATAGAAGTGTTGGACACATAGATGAAAGGAGAATTTAAATTAGGAAATACTAAGTTAAGAAGAGTTTTGTCCATTGTTATATATAAATTAAGCCACAAAAAAATAAAAAATCCTCACTGGACCTCCAAAACCTCACCGGTTAGTCTGTGCTCTCTTTCATGCTCAGCTCTTAACATTTAAATTTTCGATTAGTTGATTCTAACAGTAGACTAAATGCTTAACTGCCATTGGACTACTCCTTGTGTGTGGCAGTGGGTGGGGAGGAGTTAATTTGAAAGTTATACATGTTCTGTAATTTAAAAGAAAAAGTAATACGGAAGAGTGGAAAGTAGAAAAAATTCTCTTTATTCTTCCGTATCCCTCTCCAAAGTTGTTCTTCCTTCTAGAAATGATCTATGATGTATAAAAATCATGCACATGTACACACTTATGTCCTTATGGGATTTCTCTTCAGGTTTGGGTATTCATTATTGTAGTTAATACTTATATAAAGTAGTACTTAGACAGGGGTCCTCAAACTTTTTAAACAGGGACCAGTTCACTGTCCCTCAGACTGTTGGAGAGTGCACACTGTGGGCCCAGGACAAATTGGCTGCTAAGCAGGACAGGCAGCGGTGGCAAAAACACCCGGAGGGCCAGATAAATGTGCTAGGTGGCCTGCATGTGGCCCGCAGGCTGTAGTTTGAGGATGTCTGCTAGAATTTTGGCCATATGTCTCATTTAAAATTGCAGTCATAAATTAAGCTTACTTAAAATTTACATTTATGGCTAGCAAAGAGTTTTCTTTAATTGAGTTTACGATAGCTAATCATGGTGCTAGGTTAAGCATTGACTGAGTTCCTACTACGTGAGCCGCTTATAAGTAGCTATCAGAAATAGAATGTTCTCTCTTGCTTTTGAGGAACCACTGGTATAGACAGACAAGTGAACAGACATTTGCAGCAAATTGTCACCAGCTGAGTGTCCCCTGGGGGCACATTTGAAATGTATGACATCCAGGACAAACTTGTCATTGTTTCTATTGGAAGATGACAACTTATAAATCCTCCATCTTAGATTCTCAATTCTCAAAAACTTTAAAGAAAAATAAAATAACTTCTCAAAAATCTTTAGTCCAAATTATTCTTATATTATTAAGGAATCATTAACTTTTACTTTACATACATCATTGCTATTATGTGTTTTTGACTCAGCAGATGCTAGCTGAATACCTGCATTGGAAAGATACTACTCTGGCCATTGTGATGGTTGGGGATTAACAGTTGGATAAAAATGCTAGAATGTAAAGAAGTGGACACTGCAGTGTCCACATGTACACACATAAGTGTGTACATGTGCATGATTTTTATACATCATAGATCATTTCTAGAAGGAAGAACAACTTTGGAGAGGGATAATGAAGAATAAAGAGAATTTTTTCTACTTTCCACTCTTCCGTATTACTTTTTCTTTTAAATTACAGAACATGTATAACTTTCAAATTAACTCCTCCCCACCCACTGCCACACACAAGGAGTAGTCCAATGGCAGTTAAGCATTTAGTCTACTGTTAGAATCAACTAATCGAAAATTTAAATGTTAAGAGCTGAGCATGAAAGAGAGCACAGACTAACCGGTGAGGTTTTGGAGGTCCAGTGAGGATTTTTTATTTTTTTGTGGCTTAATTTATATATAACAATGGAGTACAATTTAAGTTTTACAGTACAATTGAAATGATAAATTATATACTAGAATGAATGGTGTATACAAAGGGCTTTGCGAGCAGTGTCAGTGACGTGAACTCTGGCTGGGCTCATGAGGAAGGTACTGTGGGTGTCTTGGCTTTGGGGATAGGAGTTGGGTTTATAGGCAAAAGGGAAGGGAAAGAGGACTTCGGGAAGACTAAGGTCATTATGAGGAAATGCAGGAAGAAATTATTAGTGTGATTGGGCCTAGAGTTGACTGGGGAAGGGTTGGTATCTCTGAACGAACACTTGGAGAGAGTGATATGTTTAGAAATATAGATTGGTGCCAAATCTGTAGGTTAGGCCAAGGAGTTTAGAGTTTGTTTTGTGGAAAACTAAAGGATTTGGATGGGAAATGAGAGGATTAATGTGATTGAAGCAAGGAAAACTATTTAGGAGACTACTTTTAATAGTTTGCTGTAATTCCATGAAGATGTAACCTAAAGTTCTCTGCTGAAGTAAAAGCACTGTAGGGGAAGAATGGATAAATTTTTTTTTTTAAATCCTTGGCTGATTGTATCTTTTCTTGTTATAGATATATTTTAATCATTATAGATTTATTTTGAAATTATACTTTTGAAACTTACTTTTAGTAGTTAATGGCCTACTTGTATTAAATTCCCCTTTATGTTTAAAATCCTTTTTTTTGTGACCAAATGATGAAATTGTTAAATATATTTCATTTTAAATACTTCTGCCCATTTTTCCAAAAGTAGTGACGGTCTTTTCTTTTTTATTATTTTCATATTTCCATATTTTTAGCATCAAAATCTCATCAGGTTTTTCAAGAGGTATTTTCCTGGGCAAATTTCATCTTATAGGGTAACATCTTGTGCTTATTAATTATGTAAGTGGTGATTTGATGATTCTATCAATATTATTTATTAAGTCTTCTGCTCTATTATATATTATGCATATCTAGAAATTTCTAACAGATATCTGTCAAATGGCAGACAGAAACACTGCTTTTTAGAATTATTTAAGCATCCTTATATGAACATTTGAATTTGCTACTACCACCCAGTTTGTATGTAGTAGTAGATGAACCTTCAGGTCCCTTTCTGGTATAAGATGCCCTTAGGAATGATTTTAGACTTGATTATATTATGGCCACTTAATGAATGACTCAATCACCTTTGTACCTTTATGTATTACTCGGGACAGGAGAGGTCAAAATAGAATTGTTTTCAATGGTTTTGGAAAAATTGTTGTAAGAAATATCATAATATTTCCAAAAATTCTACACATAGCTACTGTGCTGCTATAACAGCAGCAATCTTACTATTATGATATTGTATATTTATAGTTTATACTCACAAAAATAACATTGCATTTTTTATAGTTCTATTGAATTAGAAATATTGAGTTTATAGAGTTTATTTTTCAGATCTTATCTATTGGAAATTGCTACAATATTTTCTACCTATTTTTATGAAACTAATCATAGGTACTCTAATACTAGATGGAAATTATCTTGCCATGGTTTAGTCATGTCAATCATGAATAAATTGCCTCCTGATTCCAGAGTTTCCTTTTAAACTTCTCACTTTGGCATGTTTATAGTTACATTTATTACAGACGGTGTGTGCCATCTTGTTTTATTGCATCATCCTGCCCTCCTCTTGCCTTTTCCCTAGTCAGTAATAACCAATACACTATATAATTCCGTAATAACAGTGCATGCATAAGACTGTGTATGCTTCTGAAATCTGAAAGTATTTAATCACTTGCTGCAGATACACTGTAACACTTGCAGATTTTATTCCACATCTGTTACCTTAAATAATCCCACAGAACCCTCTTAATTTTCATTGCCAGCAATCTGGCTTTCTTTA